CGACCGTCACTGTGCGTGGTTAGAAATCCTTCAGTGAGAAGTGGGAGGGGCTGGAACGTCCCTGTGAGGCGTCGTCATGTCTTTGTGTGTCTGCTCATAAACCAGTGGAATGATTCAGGCATCAAATACTATGMACTAAGATGGACGACACATTTCCACTTCCTCCAGAAACGGAGGAAAGTATCTCGGACACAAATGCTGCCATCTTGTGGTGATGACGTCATGCACAGTCTGAGTCCGTGCTGTAGTAATCATGGAGCCGTAGAAACCGTCTTTGAGATTCATTTATTTTAACAACTTTGATTTCTTTACCTTGGTCCATGTCCCATTTGCTAACATGGAGCAGAAGGGGTTCATGGCGTGTACTGCAGCCAGCCACCAGGGGGTGTTTGAGAAGCTTTAGCTTCAGCTTTGGTAGCCGTCATGTCGTCCATCTTTATTTCCGGTCTGGGACTGTGTGTATGTAAAGCTGACAGCGTTGCTCTGTTCATGAGCATAATGTTTCATTGAGCCCGACTATTAAACATATTTTTATTTTTAGATGTACTGAGGAGTACATTTCTTAAACCAGTATATCAGACGATAAATACATGTATAGTACAAATACTGTATGTGTGTATTTAGAAATAAGGTGGACACATCCTGTTTCTGGAGTTGTTGTTTGTGTTGGAGATGAAACACAGACCGAGGAGAGGACGAGAGGAGGATAAGAAGAGAGGGATTCGTTTTTAGTAAATCAGGCAGAAGGAGAAGCAGGAGGAGTTAATCTGGTGATGTAAGACACACAACAGGCCTGCTGGGTAATTTTGTGTGTGTCTGCTGTGTGTGCAGGATGAGGATTTAGACAGCAGAACATTTAATCTATGGTCAGTGGGTTGTGTGCGTGTTGGGGGGTAAGTGTGTGAGAGACAGACATTTCTGTGTGTGTGTGTGTGTGTGTGTGTGAGAGACATTTCTACATTATACATTTAAAGTTTCCTAAACTTAACCAACAGCTTCTCCTTCAGTCCATCGTTCGTTGATTCTCACGAGGTCAAGTTCTCGTCTGTTCTCGGTCTCAAACCACTTCCTTCTACTGAGTTTACCTGAAATCTATTCAGTATTTTATGAGTAATCCTGTTAACAGACAAACAATCGCAGAGGAAAGAGTAACGTGTTCAGTGTATTTAATAATGTGTATTTAATAATGTGTTTTTAATCATTTGTATTTAATATGAATAATATGTTCATGTGTGTTTGTAGACAGGGGAGAAATTAAAGTTGCTGTTGAGAGAGGAAGAAGAAAAGAAATAGTTCAAGTGAAGAGAAAAGAGAAACCAGATGAATGACACACACACACACACACACACACACACACACACACACACACACACACACACACACACACACACA